TTCTACTAGCCAAAAAAAAAAAAATAACAGAAATAAACCAACAGCTTGAGGCTGTCTACACTGGACATGACAAAGCGACTGTTGCAAATCATTTTGTGTCAGTACTAGGGGTGTGCGATATTGACAAAAAACAATATCTCAATATTTTCTGGGATTTTATCGATAAAGATAATTAGACAATATTTTGCTGTGTTATTGTGCTGATATCTTAAGGACTACCATGGACAGCTGACTCCTAAAGTTTTTGATATATTTCATATTCTGTGGTCAGTTCACAGCAGTGATAGAAATTAATCTTTTCCAATAAGTTTGCTTATTGATGCTTACCTTTTATGGGCATTTTTACCTTTATAAATCAATTTTTTACATTTAATCAGGCAATTATAACAATACTACATTTAGGCTGTTACTAAACAAATGAAATCAGTATCAATAAAATTCATCTTTGCAGAAGTTGCACATGAAGTGGCATTTAGCTGTATTTACACATGCTAATGCAGCTTAGAGGGACATGGAATGCTTTAACCTGCAGTTACAAATGCATAAATAATGTTTTGATATTTTACACATGAAATGTTGAATAGTGATATTTGAAATTATTTAAAAAATGAAAAGATACTTTAAATGTGAAATTAAAACCGCCAGTAGGTGGCAGCAAGTCACTGTTAAGTGAGTCATTGCGATTGAACCGAATCATTTAAACAGTTGATTCATTCAGGAACGAAACGCTGTCATGTTGCTCAGAGATGCAAAACAGTGCTGTTTGGAATGTTTTCTGTTGGCGAAATTGCGCAAAAACAGCCAATATGGTGTCTAAAACGTATGTCTCTTGATATTAACTTATTGTTTATTGAACTGTTGTATAAAATCAATATCACATTTGTAACCATGCTGATTTTTAAAGAAAAAATGGCACTCTTCGTGTGATATTAAATATATGAATTGATATAAATATATACATTTTCTAATCCCCTTATCTTGAATTATGTGATCATTCTTAATGCATATTAATAGACTAAATCATGCAGTGAATGAACACACTCTAAATGCGCACTAAGTTAGTCTAACCAGACTTCATCACGTCGCGTATGCGTGTACTCCGTAGGTGTGTTTTGTTTGGTTTTTGCAATTTACTCGATAATGTCATGATGTCTCACGAGTTCAGTATTTGCACTAAACCTGCGCAGAGTTGGTTTGCATGAACTTCCCCAAGAAATGAATGAGTGAACATAACTTACGAAAAGTAACCCGCAAAATTGGCTAGTGATTTGACAGCGTTACCCTCCACAGCTGATTCTTACCCACATTTGGCGGGTGTTATTTTCAAACCCTGTATATTTCATAATATTACAGTTCTATTTTTGATCAAATCAATGCAGCCTTCATTTTAAACGTTTGAACAGTAGTTTACATGAAAAGTTGTAGTTTACATGTATTCACCTTGGACAGATCTACCCCTGTGAGGGCGTTTGTGATATTAAATATATGAATTGATATAAATATATACATTTTCTAATCCCCTTATCTTGAATTATGTGATCATTCTTAATGCATATTAATAGACTAAATCATGCAGTGAATGAACACACTCTAAATGCGCACTAAGTTAGTCTAACCAGACTTCATCACGTCGCGTATGCGTGTACTCCGTAGGTGTGTTTTGTTTGGTTTTTGCAATTTACTCGATAATGTCATGATGTCTCACGAGTTCAGTATTTGCACTAAACCTGCGCAGAGTTGGTTTGCATGAACTTCCCCAAGAAATGAATGAGTGAACATAACTTACGAAAAGTAACCCGCAAAATTGGCTAGTGATTTGACAGCGTTACCCTCCACAGCTGATTCTTACCCACATTTGGCGGGTGTTATTTTCAAACCCTGTATATTTCATAATATTACAGTTCTATTTTTGATCAAATCAATGCAGCCTTCATTTTAAACGTTTGAACAGTAGTTTACATGAAAAGTTGTAGTTTACATGTATTCACCTTGGACAGATCCACCCCTGTGAGGGCGTTTACAGAAACAGGTAGTTCAGCCAACAGACGATTCACTTCCCCAGTAACACGGCCACCGTCGCCGCTCAGGATCACAATCTCATTGGTACGACTTAAGGGTGCTGCCACCTGTGCAGCAATCTGTGATGATACAAATTCACTGACACGTTAACACAATGAAAACACACTCAGCTTAAACTTAAACATTTGCATTTTAACCACTGGTAGTGTTGGAGAGGTCTGATCAAAGTTAAGAGAAAAAGAAAAAACTGAAACACACTGCATCTGTAATTACTGTAATCAAATTTGTTCAGAAGTTCCCAGACTTCCACATACCTTTGGCAGAGCCTCCAGGACGAGGGCAGTCTTTGCAGCCTCTCCGTACTGCTGATAGGCCTCAGCTTTGAGCCTCATCTTCTCTGCTTCTGCTTTACCCACAGCCTCAATGGAGCCGGCCTCTGCTTCTCCAATACGCTTGATCTTCTCCGCTTCAGCCTGTGCCGTCAACACCTTCTTTATCCTGACAGAGAGGAACAGAAGACAGAATGACTTCATGAGGCCTTTGTTCTTGCCTTTCTTATCTGGCTCCCTTAAACTAAATATACCAATTTTAGATATAAAACTCACTAATTCCCTCTCACTCGTGTTACTCACTTCTGTGCCTCTGCGAGCTGCTGCATCTTGTAGGCTTCAGCCTCAGCAGGTCTCCTCACGGTGGCGATCAGCTCTTTATCTGTCCTGAGGATCTCTTTCTCCTCAATGGTGATCTGCTTCTTCCTCTGAACCACCTCGATCTCAATCTCCTCCAGTCTGATCTTCTGCTGCTCCTTGGCTGCCTGAAGCTCATAGGCCAATTGCGCCTCAGCTTTCTGAGATAGGTTAAAGGAAAGAATGATTATATATGTTGTGTTTTGGGTGTCACATGATTAATTTACCAGTGCATCTGCGGTATTAAAATAACCAGAGGAATAACTTAGCTCTACCTTTGTGTTCACTTCTTGATTGAAGGCAGCCTTCTGCATCTCCAGCTCTCTCTTTGAGTCTGCCATTCTTGTATCGGCTTGGAATTTAACATCCATCATCTCCTTCTTACATTCTGCTTCCTAATTTAAGAAAAAAAGTTCCACACCACTTGCTCTTTTACATTTTCCAGTTTTTGTTTTTTGTTTTTTTGGATTAGAATAAAATTTGCTGCCCTAAGATTTTTGGTGTCAATCTGCTGAATTCATATTTTAGCAACTGTGGTAAAAACAATTGTAAGTTCATTTTAATCCCCCCCCCCCAAATTTGTCATTTAATTTTGATGTTTACTTCGTGTTTATGACAAATGGATTTTAAACTGTATATACTGTATACCATTCTTCAAAGGTTTGGGGTTGGTAAGATTTATGTTTTTGAAAGATTCCTCTTATTCTTACCAAGTCTGCCTTTATTTGATCAAAAATACAGTAAAATAGTCAAATATTATTAAAATTTAAAATGAGTGTTTTTATTGTAAAATATTTTAAAATGTAATTTATTCCTTTGATGACAAAGCTGAATTATCAGCAGCCATTACTCCAGTCTTCAGTGTCACACGGTCCTTCAGAAATCATTCTAATATGCTGATTTAGTGCTCAAGAAACATTTATAATTTCTATAAATGCTGAAAACAGCTTTGTTGCTTAATATTTGTGTTGAAACCGTGATCCATTTTTTCAGGATTCTTTAATGAATACAAAGTTCAAAAGAAAAGCATTCATTTGTTAAAGAAATCCTTTTTTATAACAACGCAAGTCTTTACTGTCACTTTTGGTCAATTTAATGTGTCCTTGCAGAATGACACCAAATTTTTCAAGTTCTGTTTTTATTTTTTCAGCTATGTCCAAAGTTATTCTAATCGGAATGTTCTATATTCTAATAAAATGAACATAAAACTTATTTTGACATCCTGATGATAAATATTTTCACTTGACCATTTATGTGCAAAGTTTTTGTTTTTCTTTTCTTTTCCCAAATTATGTATTTCAATTTTCTAAGAGTTTCAGACTCTATTTTGTTCTATATGCATGGAAAGTGAGTCTTTCATTTCTTCAGCTCACCCTGATTCCAGCATCTCTCTCTGCTTCAGCCACACCAATGTCAGCATCTCTCTGAACAGCAGCAGTCTGGGATTTCCCCAAGGAGCTCAAATAGTCCACCTTATCATACACATCCTGATGGGAGAAAACCAGTAACATTTTCACCCTGATAACTGCAATTGATTTGAAAGACACTGACTGATTGTCGAAAACACAAATATATAAGCAAAATAAAACAGAAACTCTATCCATATAAATGTAAGCACACCTTGATAGTAAAGCTTAGGATCTCAATGCCCATCCTGCCCACATCAGGTGCCGCCACCTCCCTCACCAGCTTGGCAAACTGATCCCTATCCTGGTAGATCTGCTCCACCGTCAGAGTCCCTGTAATCAAAGGCAAATGAGATTGTGAGGAGGTGAAAGTCATAATGTTTGATTGGAAATTGATTGGAGTTTGCCATTATAAAGGATATATACATTTTCTAAATGCAGTGTGAAAGCAGAGGAAGCTTTTAACCACATAATGTCCCAAACTTTGAGATATCTGTTGAAAGAGTGGTTGCTGGTCATGTTGCTCATCTGGCAAGAACTTCGATCTAACATTAACTGTGCACACTGTCTGAACCATAGCCTGTATAAAAACAGGTCTGAACTCTTCACAGTGAAGGTAAGAGAGTGGCATTTGAGATGGACACAAGTGTCAGGCGTCACTCACCCAGAATAGAGCGCAGGTGACCTTCCAGCGTCTGCAGAATGACACTTTTAATCTCTGCCACGGTCTTGCCCAGGAACTGTTCACAGGCATAACACAGCAGCTCATTGTCAGTCATGACCTTCACCTGGTAGCAGAACACATATAGTCATGGTCCAATACTGACATGCACTGGATTACAGCATGCCATCGACACCTAGAGCTCTATACCATGCACTCAGACAGTAGAACAGACGGCTGTTGTGTTACTGTACACATTTATGGTTATGAATTGTTATATAATACAGCAAAAATGTTTCAGAGACACTCAGAATCTTCTAGCATCTTACATATAATATTAGATCAACACTTGCAGTTTGACACATCTAAAAGCATATTTTGCAGGTGAGGGAAAGACATTAAGCACAATCAAATCTGATGGATGTTGTGTATAACTGAGGTTGTGGTTGAATGAGGGACATGCTTCAGTCAGTATTTATGCCATGTTGAATTTACATGCAAAAGCTTGCAAATCAGTATGTAAAAGAATATGAAATAAAATGTTTAAAGAGACCAAATGTCTCATTACATTCAGGCAGAGTGAAGGGCTGAGCGATA